TAACAAATTAAATTTTAAAAGGATTTTGCTAATTTTAATGATAAAGAGAAAAAAAAAGTTTACAAAATTATCTTTAAATGTACAAAGTAAAGTAAATCAATCTTAATATATTTGCGAAAAAAAATTTCTATTTCTCAATATTGTAACCAAATTAGGACATTTTTGCAATTTTTTTTACACACTGTAATGTCTTTAAACAGTTAAATAGACCAGTTCTTGTTTTGTTTTTTTTTATGAAGTTCCCTTTGCTTCAATAGGGGGAAAAGGAAAAAAAAATATGTAGAAAATTTTGTGTTGAACATTGCATGTTATGAGATTAAGTAGTTTGAGAGATTTCCAATTGAAAAATGCAAGAAACTTAGGCTAGCTGGAGTATGTTTATTCAATTGTTTTTAGCAATAAGGATAATTCAGTTTTGGCAGTGTGACTGCATTTTCAAGCATGCTGAGTCCCAGATTAAAAGAAAAGTTACAAAAAGTTATGCTCTTTAAGGGTTTTTTTACTATGTTCGTTATTTTACTTATTGTAATAATTTTCCGACATAAAATTTATACAATGTATGTGGAAAGACATTACTGAAGGCATTGTTTTAGTGCATGTTCAGAAAACCTAGAGCTCTAATCAAATTTTGAATTTTCTTATCACATTGTTTATCGGTACGGTAACTTAGCATCAGTAATTAATTTGAAGTACCCATGAGAGAGTTAAAAGTTTTTAATTAGATGAATGGTATGTGGGGGTAAGTGAATTTATTCACACAATTACTATTTTTACAGGATAAAGAGATAAAGATATCTAATGTATTGTGTATGTATATTAAAATATTGATTGCTATAAAAATGACAGTGCGACCATTATGGCCTAGCTGTGAATGTGGACAATTAAGTATTAGCCCATTGTTGCCATCACCGATTTAAAACTGGTGTAGCGGGCCATTATAGCTTCCACCCGAGTTGTTTCCCCTGGCAGCTGCCCAGGTCATCAGGTTCCTTAGTTATTTGGGAGTTCATGCTCCATGCTTTCCTATGCCTGCCCACCCATAGGGAGCCCCTTAGCCAGTTCCTAGTCAGTCATGTCCTATGAGCCATGTTCTGTTTGCCATTTGCCATGTTTGCCATAGTTGCCAATGCCAAAATTCAGGGTAAAATCTTCAAGCTTTGTTTTCTCGAAGCAATCTTATCTTTGGAGTTCTAGTGGTAATCTTTTTCTTAAACAGTCTTATTGTGCTGTAGAATTTCCAAAGATAATTCAGAAAACCAAAAAGTAAAAGTTATCTTTGTACAGTTGTGGTTGTGTGGTAATCTATTTTTCCCTCCACTGCATGATAAAGAAGACTGTTACTGACAAGAATTATAGAAGGTTGTGTTAAAAAAAAATCTTATTTTAGGATGCGTTAAAATATGAAAATGGAAGGGAGATTTGCGGCTCCAGTATTCGTGTGGAATGGGCAAAGGGAAATCCACGGAGGCCATATTCATCCTCATCAAGGGGAGGAGGTGTTAGTATACTTGATTTCAAAGATTTTAAGAGCATATGTATTCACTTTCAATTAAATAAACATGTTTAAAAAAGTTCAAGTAAACTTTTTATGTAATAAATATTGTACATGTACTGCTTACTTAGGGAATAGGCCTGACATTTGATTTTTTTTGACAGGGTGGTATGTATGATGAATGCTATCGCTGTCACAGAACTGGACACTTTGCGAGAGACTGCCCCAATGACAGCTCGTATGGATTCCGTCGCTCCAGGGGTGGGGGAGGAGACAGGAGTGGGGGTGGGGGACGGTACGGCTCTCGTCGAAGAAGCAGGTAATAATAACTGCTGCATACAGGTGAATTAGTTGTAACAAAACAATGTTTCAGATTTGTTCCCAGTGACATCTTTAAAAAGTTTATAGATTTTATGTACTATTTTCTTGTGTTGTCTATAACTCTTAGGGCTGGGCAAAAATATTGATATTTCAATATATTGCGATACAATGACAAAAAATATCGTATTGCAATATGATTTTGTAATAATGATATATTGGCAATATGCTTATAGATTAAGGAATTTTGTCAATAAATATAAAAATGGACTTGTGAAAGGTTTGTTATTAAGCCAAACAGTAAGACAGAAGTTGTTTTGTGGGAACATTTCAGAGCATAACTTAAATAAATCGACAAGATTTTTTTCCCGTGTTGGTTGCTTATCATAGTTATGTACATTCTGCATGTAAATTAATGTAAATATAGTAAGAAAATGGCATTTTAATTACATTGAAAATATTGCAATAGATATCGCAATACAGTAAAAAATATCACAATATATTGCAATACAAAATCTCGGGCCAATACCCAGCCCTAATAAACTCTATGGTATAAACTATAGAGATTGGCTGGAGGCTGTTTATAATAGGACTACTGGAGTAGAGAATGTGTAGTGAGAGTAAAGTGATGCGACCAAAAGAGACTCAGATGGCTTCAATTGAAGTAAAACAAAAACTCGTTTTCATTTCAGGGCCTAGAGTTAATGTTATTTTTAAAAAAAATCTGTAAAAATAAAAAGTGGAATTATTCCTGAAAGCTTGACCAGGATTTCAAAATTGGTATTTACGGTTTTATAGATCAAGGTCCAGATCCCCTTACAGACGCAGAAGGTCTCCCTCCAGAAGTCGCAGCAGAAGCAGGGATAGGAGAAGGTAAACCCTGTGTTTGTTATGGATAAGTAGACTAGAGGTACTGTGAGCAATGAGCTCACTTAATGATCCCCCGCCTCCCATATGAATATAATGGCATTGTCAATGTTTTGCTATGGGAAAATCAAAATATGTGTTCGGTCGAAAGTAAAATAAGAGGTGCACAATGGCAGTATGAAATAAAGATTCTCTGCAAGTTTCATCCAATTTCATGCAGTGGTATAAGAGGAGTTGCAGATAAGAGTTGGGTACCCCAAAGCGTAACTGACGGACGTACAGACAAACGGAATGAACATCCCTATTACTATATACCCTCCTGCTTTCAAGCAGGAGCTATAATAAATAAGTGGTACCACGGTAGTGTGTTGTGTGAATTAACACAGTGTTTGAATTGTTTCAAAGTAGTCTCTGTTTCAGACTTAGCTTTCTGTTGTAGGTCTAGATCTGGCAGCCCTGACAGGAGGAGAAGTCGATCCAGGAGCATGTCAAAATCTCGCAGCCGCTCCAGATCTATCAGTCGGTCAAAGAGCAGGTCACCAGTTAATGAGGGCGGTGACGCCAAGGGTGGATCTCGATCCAACAGTCCTGCTTCAGATCATGAGTAGTGCAGCGGTTTCTGTATTTAGTCAGATAGGATCAACAGCAGTGACTGGTGGTGTAGAAGACAGTGTTTCATTCTTTTCATTTGATATCAATATTGTCATGCTTTCTGTTTTGGCATTTTTAATTAGAAATCTCACCATTTTAGAAAACATATCTTCACAATAAATGTTTTTTAATGAATTTTTTTTCAAGTTTTTTTTTGTGAAGTACCATGCTTAGTGCCATGCTAGCAGAACTAGTATTGTGCAAAAGCAGTGTATTGTGCCTTGGTTGACACTTTTCAGTGTTCAGCTGTAATACCAGTAGTCATTCTTAAGACTGGATCTACATGATAAAATTATTGTCAGTTCTGACACAAAATTTATACTTTTGTCTGGCTAGTATTTGACTGAGGAGGAGGTCACTTTTCTAAAGCAATATTTTAAGCCTTTGTACTCTAACAACTGATGTAGAAGGCTGCATGCCTTGACTTTTCCAGTTGATTGGAACTAGAGGAGTGTAGTACAAACAGTATACAAAACAATATCTTTAAAATGCTTAGCAATATTATCAAAGGTTCAAAGAGTCATTGAAATGAAGTATTAAGATTGTGGAAATAGTAAAAGAGATGGGTTACCAGATTTTTTTAATCTTTCCTAGTCTCTGTAAAATCAAATTGTACCAATATACAGTCTGGAAGTAAGTCACATTTAAACATGACCTTGCATCAGATTAACTAGCTGAAGTCCTCAACCAATCTTTCAAATAATTTATTTAGGTGAAAGAGAATGTCGGGATATGATTTTGAAACACTTGGAAGCTCATTGGCAAGGTTAAAGCTTTTCAAACTATTACTAAGGTAAAGAGTTCAAAAATGGTGTTACATGTATCGAAATTAAGGTCTTATCACAAGAAATGCAGGTGAACTTTGAAAACCCTGACATTCGGAATAAAATTAGTATCAAAGGAAAGGTCACAAGAAGTGACATGAAAGCTCTATCAGCAACTTCCATGAGTTATAGAGAAGGTTCAAGTTTTTGCTGTGTTATTTGTCAAACTCGAAAGGTATGGACAGGAGGTAAAATATAATTAGGGCCCCGCAAGGATTTGCAGCACTGAAGACCTTCCTTGGAATACCGACAGTTTGAACTTTTGACGGCGGACCGTGATCTTAGAGTTTTGCATACTTTTGAAAAAAAAAATATACTGGCCATAACTTTTAAACCCCTGGTGCTTGGGTTTTACCCGATAATATTTAACAATGATGCGTGTGTCTTAATTGTGACAAGGCCTTCCTCTGGGAGTTTGACATGTATTTGAAAACCTTTAAAATCGGCATTAGTTATGGTACGCCATATTCACAAAAATGAGCTAAACATAGTTTCACAATTCATAAACTAGGTTTATTGATTGTAAACTATAGTTTACGGACTGTAAACTATAGTTTACGGACTGTAAACTATAGTTAACAACGTTTGATCTAAATTTTACATCAGTAAACCTTAAAGCCCACATCAATGATGGAATTTTACGAAATTATGAAAAAATAATTAAATTTTAGATGACTTAATTAGGAATTGACCACTGCTCTATTTCTTAATACAAGACTTAGCTGACATTTATTTCTCAACCCATGAAAATCATTTACCCAAAGTTCAATCTATTTTTATTTGTACACCTCATTTTCATATTTTACATGCAATCCTTAAACAGATAGGGTTATGCAATAAAACAGTGACCTACTTATCGAGAACAGGTGAAAATAAACACGAGTATGTTTTCAGCGTATCAGGCATGAAGGTGCATTTTTGTGAAGAAAATTATTTTCATTGATAAAAATCAACGATTCTGTTTACTGAGGTAAGAATAAAACATATAATTATAGTAATGTAAGCGATCCGTTATGGAGTAAAGTTCTGTGATAAATCTTGAGAAAAGTAACGATCGATACTGTAATATCTAATTTTAGTTTCACACGACAAGCACGTGCATGATAAAGCCAAACAATGTTATAAATTGTGAAAAGAAAACGAAAGTTTACGAACGAACGGCACTAGGCGATGTGGCCAGTCAGCAGGGGATGCTTACTCCTCTATGGCATCTAATTCCACTCATGTTTTTTTTTTTTTTTCGAAATTCGTGTTTTCTCTGCTCAACTTGTATTGTTTCAATGCACTTTTGAATTTGATTTTTGTTCCTTATTTTGATATTTTATTACTCATGACCAGGGATATATATGATTCCCCTTTATTGTCCCCGTAATCAAAGAATCGGGGGTCTATAGTTTTTGTCGTGTCTGTCCGTCTGTCTGCCTCTCTGTTTATCTGTCTCTCTATCTGTCTGTCTGCTGGTCCGCAAAAACTTTAAACATTGCCTATAACTTTTAATTTAGTGGAGCTATGACTTTCATATTTCACATGTGTATTCCTTGTGACAAGATCTTTGTTGGGTACCACCAATTTTGACCTTTTGTCCTTGTAGTTTGACACACTTTTACCCCAAAAATCCAAACTTTTACTTTGGCCATGACTTTTGAACGGAAGATGCTAGGACTCTTGCTCGTACTTCATATATGTATTTTTTGTGACAAGACCTTTCATTGAATACAACAAGTTTGACCTTTCGACCTTGATCTTGGGGATTTACGTTATTTAAATAAAAATTAACTTTGACCATATATTTTGAAGGGTTAGGTCTAGGGCTTTCATACTTCTCATATATAAACCTTGTGGCAAGACCTTTCTTTAGCAACAAACAACTTTGACCCTTTGACCTTGACCCTAGAATTTGACATACCTTTTAAAAACTAATCCTGGGCCATACTTTTGAACAGGATGTGCTGGGGCTTTCAAATTTCACAACTGTATTTCTTGTGAGAGGACCTTACTTTGAGTACCAACATATTTTAATTTGCATTCAAGAAAAGTTTAATCTTCACTATGTTGCCGACATTGGGCATAAGTGTTTTACAAACACATCTTGTTATTGTATTCTATTCTTTAAAATCTATTTCAGATGTTATGATGCAGTGAAACATTTTTAGCTCACCTCAACGAAGTTGGGGGAGCTTATGTAATACCCTCGGCGTCGGCGTCGGTGTCGGCGTCGGCGTCCACGTCGGCGTCGGCGTCCCAGGTTAAGGTTAAGTTTTTTGGAGCAGTTTTCTTTTTAAGTACTTCTATGTCCTATATTGATTAGACATGCATGGAAGATGGTTCTAGTGTGTTTCATTGTACCAGTCAAAGTTTCAGATGCTGCAATTTCAGCAAAGGAATGACCAGGTTAATGTTTTTGGACATTTTTGGTGCAGTTTTTGGTGTAGGTTTCATTTCCAAGTAACTATAATCCCTATGTTGACCAAACTTGCATGGATGATACATCTTAGTATGGATACTACCGGGCTTGCTTCGGATGCTGAATCTGACCTACATTTTCTGGTTGAGTGAACAGGTTAAAGTTTTCGATGCAGGTTTCATTTCCAAGTAACTATGAGACCTACGTTGACCAAACTTGCATGGTTGATACATCTAAGGATGCATACAACCGGGCTTGCTTCGGATGCTGAATCTGACCTACATTTTCCGGTTGAGTGAACAGGTTAAAGTTTTTGGTGCAGGTCTCATTGCCAAGTAACTATAAGCCCTACGTTGACCAAACTTGCATGGATGATACATCTTAGTATGGATACTACCGGGCTTGCTTCGGATGCTGAATCTGACCTACATTTTCCGGTTGAGTGAGCAGGTTAAAGTTTTCGATGCAGGTTTCATTTCCAAGTAACTATGAGACCTACCTTGACCAAACTTGCATGGTTGATACATCTAAGGATGCATACAACCGGGCTTGCTTCGGATGCTGAATCTGACCTACATTTTCCGGTTGAGTGAACAGGTTCAAGTTTTTGATGCAGGTCTCATTGCCAAGTAACTATAAGCCCTATGTTGACCAAACTTGCATGGATGATACATCTAAGGATGCATACTACCGGGCTTGCTTCGGATGCTGAATCTGACCTACATTTTCCGGTTGAGTGAACAGGTTAAAGTTTTTGGTGTAGGTTTCATTTCCAAGTAACTATGAGACCTATGTTGACCAAACTTGCATGGATGATACATCTAAGGATGCATACTACCGGGCTTGCTTCGGATGCTGAATCTGACCTACATTTTGTGGTTGAGTGAACAGGTTGAAGTTTTTGGTGCAGGTTTCATTTCCAAGTAACTATAAGCCGTATGTTGACCAAACTTGCATGGATGATACATCTAAGGATGCACACTACCGGGCTTGCTTCGGATGCTGAATCTGACCTACATTTTGCGGTTGAGTGAACAGGTTAAAGTTTTCATCAAGAGATGAAAATTCTCAAATTTGCTTCAGATGCTGGATTTTGATTACATTTTCATGAAGAAGAACTAGTTTAAATTGTTTATGTAGGTCTATTTCAAAGTATCAGATCAAAATTGCTTAAATATTTTCATTTTTGGAATGTACACTTTTTGTTGGTTAATTGTGTGACTTTGCCTTACTTAAAGACAACATTCGTTGAGGTGAGCTCTGTAATCTCTGATTACCTATGTTTTGACTGTACCTTCAACTCATATTGAATTCACCATCTTTATCTTAATTTATGAAAGAAATTTTTGCAAAGTACATACATTATATTTTAATACTTATGTTTATTAACAATAAAATTTCCGAGCCTTACAGATAGAAACAAAAATGAGCTTTGCCAATCCTCCAGCAAATCCGGTTTCTACAACACGTGTCATTCTAGAGTACGTTTTCACAAATCAAACCAATTTCCAGTTTTTGTCCAAATTCAAAGTCGTAAATTTTGAGCCAAAGAGTGCAGAAGGTAAGGGATCAAATAAAATATATTTTAAAACCTATTAAAAAAGACAACATATAGGCAATTCAAATCACTATATAATATAGTACTGTTCTATATACAGTGCTACATGTATATAGAAACAAATAAGAAACATTCTTTCATTTGTTTAATTATTCCACTTTTTTAATTTCTTCCATTCCTAGATTGCCCATTAAATGACACATACAGCTGGAATGATGCATATAGAAAAGAACTTACTCTAATGATCATGAAACCGGTAGCCATGTTTGAAAATCCCTTTCTTAGTAGTCCCCATAAGTTAGTTCTGTGTGACTTGTGGCTGACAATGGACAAACAAGCTGGTATGTGTCTCATTAAAAAAATAACATGCACTAGGCTAATTAGTATTTTTTCATAGTATACTAATTTTTACACAAAATTTTTAAGGTATTTTTTTATCTTGTAAGTTGTATGTACATTAAAATATTTATCTTAAAATGTTTCATTATAGGTAATTTTGTTTGTTTGTTTTTTATTTGTTTTTCCCTTTTAGATATTAACACAAGGGTCATATTAAATGAAACATTAAACAGACTACAATATGATCCGACAACTGGACATGGTCCAAACAAGCCTCACGAGCCGTGGTTTGGATTCGAACAAGAGTACTACGTGGTGAATGATGAGGGCATTCCTGTCAGCTACGACCCGATAAAATTTGACTATTCTACACTATGTATGTACATCTTTATGTTAAAGTCTACATAAATATTTAAAGACTGATAAGTTTTGAAGTATCTCACTGAATCATTTAATTTCCTTCTAGCTAAGCGGTGGAAGTGTGGTATGTTTGAACCGATCCACTTCACAAATTGATATCGCAGTTTTTCTTGGAGTTCTCAATGTCTACTTTCATTTATTCAATTATCCCTGTCAGCAAATACATTGAGTCAAATGACGACTAACGTTTTTCATACCATTTGTCCATTATTTATAGACTGAATTGACCGACGGCTTTTTATACCGAGCGGTCGGCAGGGTAATCTAACTCCTCCCTGGCACCTGATCCCACCTTTGATGTTTCGGAGGTCCGTGTTTGCTCTGCTCCTATTTTTATAATGTTTTATGGACTTTTGAGGTTGAATACTGTTTGTTATATCTCCATATCCTTCATTGAAATTCTATTTGCTGACTTTCCTGAAACTTTTAATCACATTCTAAGAATTTGTCAATACTTCTTCACAGGAACAGAACAGAACAGAACAGAACATTTTATTTCTAATTTAGAGCCCATAACAGACAAGTATGAAATTGTTACAATAATTAAGGAAAAGATAAGCCAATGAATAGCAAAACAATTATACAATTAGCAGTTGACATAAATCATTTCAACAATAATCCTGTCTAAAAGGAATACATCAAATATGCATGTTACTATAATGTGCTATCATTTATAAATTTGCCCACAAAATTAAGAGTTTCCTTATCTTCTGTATTGAGTAACCAATAAAGTTTTTGTTCATCATCTAAAGCTGAAAATAGTGGAAATTTATGATTAATTAACTGAAACATTTCTTTTCTTTGATGATCAAATTTTTTACATGTTATTAAAAAATGAGTTTCATCATCTATGTTGTTAGAATTACATCTATTACATAATCGATTGTTAGAATTACATCTATTACATAATCGATCTTCTCGAGGAATATTGGTAAATCTTCCCACTTCAATTTGTAATCTGTGACAGGAAATTCTTAATTTACATAAAGATTTTCTGTGATGAAAATTTTTAACAACTGATAAATAATTCTCATAACCCCAATTTTGTTTGAGTTTCACATATGTGGATAATTTGCCATCGGTGTAACTTTTATAACTTGTATACCATTTCTTCACATAATAATCTAATAAAATTTTATGACAAAATGACTTAAATTTATATTTCCCATAACAAATAACTTCATCTTTAATATTCAGTAATTTTCTTAATTTCTGTATAAATGCAAACCATGAGTTCTTTCCATTCACAAAAAGCTTTTTACTACATTCATATGCATCTTTAAGTAAAGGAAATTCTATGGACAAATTCTCAAATCTATACCAACTTTTAATCAGTAACCTGGCAATATCATAATGCAGAGGGAACCTTCCCAATTCAGACAGTACTGCAAAATTTGTGCTTTTCTTATGAACGCCGAGAATATATTTACAGAATTTAAGGTGTATTCTTTCACAGGGTAGATTTTTAAAGCAGTCTTCAACTGTTAAATTTTGGCAGTTTAGGAATTTTTTAGTATTTATATTACTTGCACCCCACACCTCTGCATTATACAAAAGAATTGGTTTAATGGTAGAGTCAAATACATGTATACTGGTTTTAATCCCAGGGTTCAAATCAATAAAATCCTTTCTTAATTTATAATATGCTTTTAATGCTTTTTTATAAAGCTCTAATCTTGCTACATGAAAGCTTCCAGATACACTTAGGTGGACTCCAAGATATTTGTAGCTGGGCACACATTCTATCATATTATTTTGAAACATTAGTTTTTGTGTAATATTACGACCAGCCTTATTAAAGATCATGACTTGTTTTTTGAATGTTTACCTTTAAACACCAATCAGAGCAATACTTTTCAAGTTTAGCGAGTCTTGCTTGTATACCTTTAGCTGATGAGGATAAAATAACAATGTCATCTGCATACATTAAACAATTAACAGTTTGTGTCTGAAGCGATACTTCATCAATACATGAATCTAAATATGAAGGAAAGTCATTGATAAATATTTTAAATAAGGAGGGGCTCAAATTATCCCCTTGACGGACGCCTATAGCTATTTGAAATGGATCTGAGAAGAATCTCCCAATTTTCACACATGCTTGACTATTTTTATATATATTACTAATGATATTATAAAATTTAGATCCAACATTCATGTTAACTAATTTTAGCTTTAATCCTGTATGTATAACACTGTCAAAAGCTTTATGAAATGAGGTGGGGCAATGCAATGTTGCTCTAAATCACATTGTATTATTTTTATTTTAACGTGTATGTGTTACAGTTCCGTTTTACACCGTCGGACATGAACACGATAAGAACACGGGGGTGGAGAGAGATTTGTCCGTGAAACACCTACAAGCCTGTATCTACGCAGGAGTTACCGTTCATGGTTCTGTACGAGAGAATGGTCCATCCCAGGTACGCCTAGTAAAACTGTCAATCAAAGGTGGAATCCATCAGTTAGGTCTTAATGTTGGGTAAGTATGATGCAACAAGAAAGGGGGACGAATCAAAATGATATATTGAAGAAAAGATAACAAAAAGGGAAGTAAACAAAGAGAATACAAACAGAAAAAAGAGAGACCCACGCATATATAGACCAGAATGCACTCTTCAGTTACTTTGGGAAGTAGCTGTTTGGCCTCGTTTTTTGCTCCCAACAAATATAACAGATGGATGGAAGGAAAATGGAAAGAGGAAAAATACTCAAATGAGCCCTTGAGTCAGATATGCTTGAACGGAAAAAAGAAAATAAAAATGTTGTGAGGCGAAACTGTTAAGAATAGAAAAAAGTGTGATAACGGTACTTTCGATAATTTGTGCGTACAATATCATGAAGCTGTTACATTATGTTTCACCACTGGCTTCAATCTAAGAAGGAGTGCTCCTCTGCGTTCTGTGTAGAAAAGCAGTATTTTCGAGAGATGTTGAAGTTTTTTTCATTCAATTTAAACTTTGTTGTTTTGGTGTCTGGGCTACTGTAAAAGTGGTTATTTACACTGGTTAGCTCTACTGGTCAGAGACCAGAAGAGCTTATGCGATAGTAATGCGTCCGTCGTCCGTCCGTCTGTCTGTCTGTCAGTCTGTCCGTCTGTAAACAATTTTTCAAAATGCTACTCCTCCTACAGTTTTGGTCTGATTTCAATATAACTTGGCACACAAGTAGACTAAACTAAGATACATAATTCTGTGTATCGGTTTCTGATTTGGATGAACGGTGTTGCCGTGGTTACTAAAAATAGAAATTTCTGTTAAATTCTTTCAAAATGCTACTTCTCCTACAGTTTTGGTCTGATTTCAATATAACTTGGCACACAAGTAGACTACACTAAGATACATAATTCTGTATATCGGTTTTTGATTTGGATGAACGGTGTTGCCATGGTTACTAAAAATAGAAATTTCTGTGAAATTCTTTCAAAATGCTACTCCTCCTACAGTTTTGGTCTGATTTCAATATAACTTGGCGCACAAGTAGACTACACTAAGATACATAATTCTGTGTATCGGTTTTTGATTTGGATGAACGGTGTTGCCGTGGTTACTAAAAATAGAAATTTCTGTGAAATTCTTTCAAAATGCTACTCCTCCTACAGTTTTGGTCTGATTTCAATATAACTTGGCACACAAGTAGACTACACTAAGATACATAATTCTGTGTATCGGTTTTTGATTTGGATGAACGGTGTTGTCGTGGTTACTAAAAATAGAAATTTCTGTGAAATTCTTTCAAAATGCTACTTCTCCTACAGTTTTGGTCTGATTTCAATATAACTTGGCACACAAGTAGACTACACTAAGATACATAATTCTGTGTATCGGTTTTTGATTTGGATGAACGGTGTTGCCGTGGTTACTAAAAATAGAAATTTCTGTGAAATTCTTTCAAAATGCTACTCCTCCTACAGTTTTGGTCTGATTTCAATATAACTTGACACACAAGTAGAACACACTAAGGTACATAATTCTATTTATCAGTTTCTGATTTCGATGAACTGTGTTGACGTGCTTCTAAAAATAGAAATTTCCGTGAAATTCTTTCAAAATGCTACTTCTCCTACAGTTTTGGTCTGATTTCAATATAACTTGGCACACAAGTAGACTACACTAAGATACATAATTCTGTGTATCGGTTTTTGATTTGGATGAACGGTGTTGCCGTGGTTACTAAAAATAGAAATTTCTGTTAAATTCTTTCAAAATGCTACTCCTCCTACAGTTTTGGTCTGATTTCAATATAACTTGACACACAAGTAGAACACACTAAGGTACATAAATCTATTTATCAGTTTTTGATTTCGATGAACTGTGTTGACGTGCTTCTAAAAATAGAAATTTCCGTGAAATTCTTTCAAAATGCTACTCCTCCTACAGTTTTGGTCTGATTTCAATATAACTTGGCACACAAGTAGACTACACTAAGATACATAATTCTATATATCGGTTTTTGATTTCGATGAACGGTGTTGCTGTGGTTACTAAAAATAGAAATTTCTGTGAAATTATTTCAAAATGCAACACCTCCTACAGTTTTGGTCTGATTTCAATATAACTTGGCACACAAGTAGACTACACTAAGGTACATAATTCTGTGTATAGTTTTTCACTTCAATGAACGGTGTTGCCACGGTTACTAAAAATAGAAATTTCTGTTTAATACACTCAAAATGCTACTCCAAATACAGTTTTAGTCTGATTATAATGTAATGTGGCATGCAAGTAGACTACACTAAAACATAAATAGACGAAATCAAGGATCATTTTTCTATTGATTGCTGTTGAAAAGTTTCAATTCCCAACTGCCTAAGTACTTTTCTCTTCTTTTGCTATAAGTACAAACCAGTAGAGCTTCAGTCTCGACAGAGACTTCTGGTTTTTTAAGTACGCGTTTGTGACCATCAAACATTACAGTGTATATATTGATGAAATATTTGAAAGCAAATCAGGTACACATAGGCGGGGATTCTCTTTCTTTGTTTATGCTACTCTCAAATTCCATGAGCCAAATACATGTACTACTATCTGGGTTTTTCATAAATGGAAAAACTTCTGAAATCGCATTTTTTAAACTGTGTATGAATTGAGAATTCATTTTGAATGAGTAAAAACTGCTTAAGTATTCGAATTATTGTGTTTCTGAACAGGGATGGGGTAATTGAAAAAAGTAATTGTAATTGACTGTAATTAATTATATTTTTTGATGTACATGTAATTGGAAATAATTTGTAATTCGACATTTTTTCAGAAAATTCTGAAAGTGATTTGAAGAAAAGTTCATATTGCCTTTTAATAAATCTGAGAGAGAGAGAGAGAGAGAGAGAGAGAGAGAGAGAGAGAGCTGAGTACTATGAGTGTACATGTAGATGGTTAATGTTCTGCCTTTGGTAAGTAACACATAGAATGAATTCATATAGATTTTGTTTTATGCTTCTGTTCATGATTAATTTTTCTTCATCTCTTATTTTTTTTAGTGGGAATACCAAGTAGGACCGTGTGAAGGCATAACGGCAGGAGACCACCTGCAGATGTCACGTTACATATTATTAAGACTTGCAGAACAATGTGGACTGAGGGTCACACTAAATGCAGTCCCTGTAAAAAGGGGGATCGACTACTCCTCAGGGCATTTGAATTTCAGTGTCATGAAAATGAGGGAAAAAGAAGGAATAAGGTTCGTTTTTTTGTTTGTTGTTGTTGTCTCTTTTTTTTCATTTCAATTCATAAGAAAAAGTTTCATTTCAGTATGAGAAAAAAAATCAAATTAAACTTAAAAAGCATTAAGTTATTCTGAAAAAAAAAATATAATGCGTAATGAACTATAGCCAAACAATAATTGTATATGTACAATATTCAATAGTAAGATAAAATATCATATAGTTACTAAGTCAAAGCATCTACTTTAAGATTTATCCATCATGCAATCGATGTACTGTCCAAATCTGACCAAAAGCCTCTATTAAAAATCTACGACCAAACTATTGATGAAGCTAACACAGTCAGACTGTCAAACAACAAGATAGAAGGACACCCCATCATTGACGACTTTGTATTTGACGGGGCACATAAAAGGGTTTCAACAGTCAGGATCCCCCCTCTTGTGGCCTGGGAGCGGCGGGGGTACATGGAGGACCGCAGACCCCCCTCCTCTGTGGACCCCTATGCCGCGGCAGCTGGTTTGATCCGCGCCTGTATATTTGGGGATTTCTTAAAGCCTGGGAACGAGTCATTGAAAGATTTGTCTATCTGGGATAAGGAGGCACATGAGTTAAAGGAATTTCCTGACCCCTCATGAACAATGCTGCTTGTTTTACATATACCTAAAACATATCATAAATATATGCAGAATAATATTACACTTCTGGAACTTTACTTTTTTTAGTTAATCGGATAGATTCAAAATCACATCATTTTGTATTTAATGACACCCAGTAAATTTAAAATTTTTGCATGATGCTTTAAATAAAACTTGTCTTGTTTTCTTTAGATTTGTTGCTTAAAAAAATGTTCTTTATTTTTATGTTAAACTTAATACAGTATAAGCTACTTAGATTGTAAAAAGAGCATATTAACATACCTTTTTCTATAATTAAAACAACTTGTATCAGCCCCCGCAAAATATCGTCATTTAGGCCCTTGGTCTCTGGCCTCTGGCTGATATTGGTTTGTGGGGCTGATACAGAAAACAGAACAGGTTGCATATTTCAGGACTAAAGAAAACTTATGATTTATTTAAGTTCACTGAATGTCAGTCCCAGCATCATTTTTGCGCGCGCGCGCGTGCTTGTTTTGCTTTCTTAATCGAAAAAAGAAACATTTGAAGTGTAAAAAATGTTTTTATTTTTCTAACTCATTTAAAGATCATTTGACAATTTGTAAACACAACTTCTTTTTGTTCATGGCCTATGGCTCTACTCCTGAACATATCCAGGCGGGTAATTAATAAAGTAGTTGGCGGGACATTTTGGTACCTTACAGCACTTTCCAGCAGCAGGAGGTTCAAGTTTACACGCAGACGGTAAATGAAATTCAACACATCTAAAATACATGTAAAATTTACAAGTAATTTTTTTCCTTCCTTCATTTATTTATTACCGACATTTTTTTCTCGGAAAATCATAATGTATGTACAAGAAAAAATGTCAAAGGAGAAAATGAAAATTACGATGACACTAATTAAAATTAGGAGATATTTTTCCGAAAAGCTTAATATCTTGAGCCTTTAGTATTCCTTACCTACTCTCACAGTTGTAAAATCTGTTATTCTGACAATAACATCTCAATAGACAACCATCATACCACATGTCCCCGAACTGATAAACCGACCCGTCCTTATAAACGCATCCATGGAAGTCACCTTAATCAAGAAAAGACTAGTTAAAGAAATGACAATCTTCTGATTTGATATCGATCGTTTGACAGACAGAACTTTCTTAAACGATTCGTTTTCTTATCGTTAGTGATGACCCTGGTCTTACTTGGTAGGGCTGATGTCGTGTTTATATTTGGTATGTTACAAACTGATTCTGGACAACACTTTCCGTTTTTCTTCACCAAAGAACATCCGGCGGCTGGTTGAATTTGAGGACACCTGTACATCAAGAGGGTCAAATAATATTTTGTACAATAATTTACAATGAATTGGTTCATGATTTTTGCCAGAAAATAGGAGCTAGGTGCATTTTATGATTCTGCACACAATGAAAAAGGTTAAAATCATTATAATCTTAATAAAAAAAAAAATTCAATCTTGATCTAATTTTGTTTTCTTATGTCTTTGAGGTTATATATCTTGTCATTTATTCTAAATATTGTTATTTGGTAGATATATTGTCATTTGATCCAATTGAATATACATGTAATTTAAGAGTTCGGCTCATTGATTATATGATGTATTATATGTGTACATGTATATTTGATAAACTCAAGGTACACATAGGACATTAACGAAGTTAAGAGATGTTACTGTAGTTTGTCTTTAAAAAAAAAAGAACAGTTTCTTGGGCAAATGGGGTTTTTCCTTTCTCAGAATGAAGGGAGATATTTAATTATTTAAATATTCCAGTATCGTTGTTATTTTGTATAATTTTGGTTTACAGTTCATTAATCAAAGAGAAGAAACGTTAAATTAAAACAGCTTTTCATCAAATGTAATTATACAAATGGAACAAATAAGTAATTGATTGTTTTTATGAGAAGTATGTTTTGAATTCAAATTTACAAGAAAGCAAAGTGACGTAAACAATAAATAACATCACGAATTCATGTTGATTTAAAGATATCTAATTTATTTCTGGAATGAGTTTAAGATTTTATACAGCTTTAGTTATGATGTTAATTGTATTGGTTGTATTTTACGTACGTGCTCATGCAGTTGTAATGTCCAGTTCTACCGTTCTCGCATGTGCAGTTGATGGAACAGCCATCTTGCCAAGTCTGTCCTGTCTTGTAAGTCTGATTTTTGTATGTACAACCTCCGCGGTCAATAAGTGAAGCTTAAAACAAAATTATAGATGACTCTTTATATTTCTCATCATCGTAAAAAGGTATTTTTTAATATTACCAAATTATCAAAGTTTCCAAACAATTTTAAAATTTCAAGTTATCATGTACATGAATAACTTTCAACCAATCAGAATACATACAACCACATTGACAGTAATTGTAATAATGAGCATATGAATAATAATAATAAAAAAAAAACTGTGGATATATGACATTTCCCTCACTATCAACACCCTTAACAACTTTAATTGGAACAAAAAATTAAAGGATGGTAGATACATACAGCTTGTTGTGTTCAGACAGACCAACTTCTTACAACATTGACCTGGGACAGTCTCGTAATGACAACTTGGAGGAAGGTGGCTGAACAGATTGCATCTGTAAAAGGTTTAGAATATACAGCCATGCAAACAGGGATTCGTTTGTTCTAATGTTCCAACTACTAGTCTATTTTAAATTCTAGTACATGTACCAATTTCTAAATTAAGTCTCGAATAGAAATTGATTTGGCTATGACCATGTTTATTTCCACCTACAGAGTTGTACAGTGGGTAGTAAGGCCAGCCAAACACGTGCAGTTGTAGTCACATCCGTCCTGCCACCACTCTCCCACAGCATACGACCTGTCCTTGTATACACATTTGTCATTGCCTTGTATAGCCCCACTACCACTGCCTAGAATAGAAAAAAATGTTTGATAACTTTACGTTTTAGTTCACTGTGTTGTAGGCTCATATTCTTCAAACGTAATGCGATTCTTGAAATACAAAATAGTTTTAATTACCACTTAATGTACAGACAACTTTTTTGCAGCAATCCCCGGGAACCGTTTCATAATGACAGGATGAGGGAAGGTTGGTGTAAATAACACAGCTTCAATATTAATCAATTTTTTTAAAAACATGTCATTTCTATGTACATTCTATATTATCAGTCATGTGATTTCCTTTTTTCCGTGTTACAGATATTCTGTAACAAAGATAACATTTCAAAAAGTCAGCGAGAAACTAAGTACTTGCATGAAGAAAAAAACTACTATAATTATACTCACGGCGTCACACACTGGACAATATTGTTTCTCTCGCACGTACATTTATAATCACACCCATCCATGAATGTTTGGCCCCTTGCGTAACTTTTATTTTTATACAGACATCCCTGATCTAGATTCAAAGAAGTATCTATTGGGCTCGCCGATTGATCTGTCGGTTAAAAAGTGCTTTAGTTATGCATTGTGTTTACTTATTTAAAAATAGGCATTAAGAAGTATATGACTAATAAAGTTGAAGGTATGCCATTTTTTCTTATACATGATGTCTAATCAAAAAATGTTCTTTTATACAATAGAACATTCTTTGAACTCATTTTCAAAGAATGGACTTTTGCCTAAAGGAACAATTTTAATTTGTTTAAAAGTCAATTCCTTGAACTCATATTCAAAGAATTGACTTTTTTCTATAAGAACATTTTTATGTTTAGGCATAAGAAAAACATCATCAGTTTTAAATCTTTATAAACACTGTAGTGTAATCGAACAAAGTGGATGAAAATGGGGTTAAACTGATGCATCTTATACATTCATATCAAGATTTGTAACTTGTCTAATACACGTATGTTCATACTTACTATAACTACATAAAACTCGTTTACAACAATCGCCAGGAACAGGTTCCAGCCTACAGTTGGTTGGCAAATTGGAATACACCGCACAACTAGATATAATACATAGATTTAGATGAAAGAAAGCAAAACATTGTTGAAAGACGATACATGTAGTTTGCTCATAAGATATTATTGGTGACTATGGATTAAATTTCAAATATCAAATAATTTAAAACATATATCTTGGAAAATGCTTGGAAGATGCTTAATCTATGTTACTTTTTATGAGTTTTGAATCTGAAGTGAAAAAAAATAAACCGTTGATGATTGCATATCAATTAAAAATGACTTAATCGCGTCATTTTCCTCAAATCCTGAAAATTTCTATAAAATAGTAAAAAATTTAAGCTGTTTCCCCCAAAATTTTGCACTGTCCCTACCTCTGATCTAAAATGTTTTTAATTATAAGAAAAATAATGAGAGAAGTATTTTAGAAGATTCTTATCTAGGAGAACTTCTTTTTTGATCGCAATGTGGGATTGTACCTTAGTTATTAGCTGAAGATGCTAAAATCCATCCATTTTCTTTTAAAATTCAAGAATATTGCAATTTCACAATAGCTTATTTCACAATAGATAAACTCTCAAATAAATTTTTAAAGGAAAAATAAAGCAGTAAGTTTGTACTTTATATTGATGTTTAAAAAGCAACATTGGGACTTCGTCAGTTAATTTGTATAGGGACAAGGTCATTTGATGGAGTTATTGAAGCTAGCTTTTAATAGTCATAAAGATAATTGGATTGTAAATTATTATTAAAATGATGAAAATTTGTTAATGTTTCTTTTCTCTAAAGATGAGTAACGTACGGTTGCACACATTGTGTAAGACCCTCATTCGTACACGTGCATCTATAATCACATCCATCTAACCAGGTTTCTCCTACAGCATGAACTTGTCCTTTATATGTACAACTTCCATTGGTCAGTGCTATTTGAGCGCTTTGGGTGGTTGCAGGCTTTTTTGTTGGAACTGATATGTCACCTTTTCATAAGAAAGTTTTTCAATGGTTAGTGATAGTTGGCTCTGTAAAGGAGAAAGGCCGAAAACTGTCCATTCTGTGAGAGAAAGAACTAATCGAGGGCCGTAGTCCCGAGATTAGTTCTTTCTCTCACAGAATGGATAGTTTGAGGACTTTCTTCTACTTAAAACATGCTAGTATTTATATAAGAATGCAACTCGTCAAAATTAGTTTATATTTTGCGTTGTAAAGGCAAACATGTTTCCCTCCGCTGGAAAGAAAATATGACAGAATCGAAATCGAATTGTTGAAACCAAAAGATGCATAAAACCAGTGATATTTTGACCTGGAATCAGAGAATAGTAAGCGTAAAAGAAAATATTGTCCAAACTTTGATCCAAACTTCATCGACGACAAATACATGTACAGATATTTCAAACCGGAGATGTTACTTTTTTAATATTAATTGCAGCAGTGTAAAGGTGAAATGCAAATTGTGTTCCGAGTGTTGGATAGCCATGAGCCAAGCTTCGACCTGAAAATGTATTTAAAATCAAATCTGGAAATGTTTCAATTTTATTTTCTACCGAAATATTCACTACAGCATTGTAGTTTTCATTGTGCAAACTGTTTTCTGGGTGATGGACTTAATATTAGCCAACTTCAAGCTTAAAATGGATTCTTCTCGAGGGAATGATACTTCCAAACTCTTAATCAAATGTGTGAAAAATGTTTTCAGCATTGAAATAATGTGCACTATTCATGGCTTTAAATGTGTAAAATCAAACAGATGCGATGCAGACACTGTGTTCTGGATTAACTTAAATCTCCAAGTTCTTTTTGTTATTTACATGTACATTAAATCATATTTAATGTATTTGTTTTTGTTTCCCTCTTGTGCACATGCCAAGGTTTACCTGTAACTCTCCATTCTGTTTGTTTTAACTGTCCATTCTTTTTGAAAAAACTGTCCATTCTTAAAAAGAATGGACAGTTTTCCAAAAAGAATGAACACTTGCAGGTGACTTAATGGATTTCTAGAGGAGTTAGCTCAACACTAAGTTATAGAATGGACAACCCAAACAAAAGGTTTACGTCATAATCATGTTTTAACATACATTTAGAGTTTTTTTTAGTGGAAAACATAGAATAGAATATAGAATTTTAGCTACTCTCAATTGTTTATTAGCGTTCATAATTTGATAAATAAAAATTTAAAGTTACTCACTGCACAGTCCGCAATAACTTGCACAGTGACTTTTGGCCCATGTCAAATATGGCGCCACACAAGCTTGCTTCCCATATTCTGAACAATCTGATATTGCATCATTGCAACTGGGAGCTATGGTAGAATTAATACTTTTGTAAGAAATGTAATAGCCAAACAATACCACCATTGTGTTTTGAATACTTTTTGTTTGAAAATATAATTCAAAGGTAAATTCAATATTACGTAGAAGAAAAACATACAAATGTAAAGATGATAAAAAATCGTATTTTATACACATTTAAATGTACTTACTACAAAATCCACAAAAATTTGCGCAGTTTTTCCTTGCCCAAGAGTCGTACGGTGCTTTACAGGCAGATTGAGTATATTCAGCACAATCAGGTAAAAGGTCACGACAAATACCATTGCATGTGCTTAATGTAGCTAGAATATAACAACAAAGAGCACATTTGCACAATCCTCCAATTACTGGCAGAATTTAGATGTTCCATTAATTCTATTTAGTTGTGTAACAATGAAATGGCTAACACAGATATAAATTTTCTTTGAGCAAAGTACATTTCCGTTTTTGAACATTTGCAAAAGAAAAGAATGTAACGTTTTACTTACCTGTGATCAAAAGAATGCTTATTGTGAATTTTATCATTTTTATAAAATAGTACACGATCACTTAACACAAATTAAATGCACAAATTAAAGGTTTATCAAGGACAATGTACCTTATCAGTTGTTCAGACAACCCACTTAAAGATAAAGTATGTCAATGTCTGTATGGATGCCATTTTAACTAAGACAATCTTTAATCTACTAAGTAGCCAGGTTTTTGTAACACTTTTTCACTCAACTTTTGAAGATCTCATAAAACGATTTTCTGTCCACTTCAGTGTAAATGTTTGACCTTTACTGCATTGTTTGCATAGTAATCCGTTAAATGTGTTCTTATATATTTCAAAAAGATTCTTAAAGATGAAACATTTTTTTTAAATACTTCATCCAAGACCCTTTAAATACTTGTCTTCTCTTCTACCGAAATGTGGATTTATATAAAAAAAAAAAACCCAATACATATTAGTCACTTTAATTCATATATCGACTCGACATATCCACAGAAACTCAAAAATAAAATACCACAGAGTTGCAAAATTTGTTTCATTTTTGGATTCCTTTTTATATCAACTGCATATGTTAATGACAAACAAGTGAAACGAAAAACAACTGGTGGACACATGTGCTATTTCACTGATAACTTTTCTTATTTATGTAGTATCATTCCACTATCACCTGCATGTAATGTTTATATCTCTTAGATAATGAATTGGATACAACAATTTGAAACCGAGGACGGCTACTGACAAATAAGGTGTTGTTACAGGGTTTTCCACAGTTTCGTTTGAATTAAGTTAGCATTTTTGAATTTTATGGCTATAATGACCTTGTTTGCAAACAGAAATTTTTCTTCCATTGTTTGTTCGTTCCCTGAATTACGTGTGTTTTATACTACTTGTAATGTTTTTCGTTAATTTTGTCTACAGCTAGAGTACTCAGTTAACACTATCAGTACAAGGGCTGACGGCGGATATGACCAGTAGAAGAGGGTAATTCGCTCCTCTCAGGCACCTCATCCCACTTATTGTGTTTTCAATGCTCTGTTCACGTTTCAAATTGTTTACAGGATTAATTAAATGGATTAAAGTTATTTTTTTTACCTTTTTATTTCAATACAATTTCCAGATTTTCCGGGACATATTCGCTCCGTTTGACGCTCTAATGGGACGTGCGTAACTAACTAAAGTCTTTAATTCAGTTATCTCAGTTTGTGATTCACATTTTAAGTTTTTCAATGGAAATTGCAAAGATTATACTGTTTTATGGAACTTGTCAATAAAACAAAAGGGTTTTTAAAAATATTTATTTTCAAAAAAATGCAGTATAAAAAACTATAAGACAATGATTCATGTCATTTAGAATACATATCAATTGCACCTGTATGCATGATTATCTACAATACTTATATTATTTAAAACCAATAAACAAGTGCACACAACATTAGACAATGTTTAAAGATGATGTAATAATGATCTGGGTTACGAGTCCTAACTGCACCTTCAATCTGATTCCAACCTAAAACAAATCACAAGTCCTTCTTCTTGTAGGTACAAGTCTTATCAAAAGTCTTGCATCACTCTAGTATATATCCTGGAGGGTAGTTGTAAGGGTAGGACGCTGGACAGTTGGGTACCTGACAACATTTACCTGCAGGTGCGGGGTCCAGGTGACAGATTTTTGGAAGTAGTAAGTCCAAACATCTGTGTTATATTGAAAGACATTTAAAATAGTTTCGCAAAAATTGAATATAGAGAAACACAGAAGTTTTATATGGTATTTTTAATAATTAATTTATAGTAAAAAAAAAATAGATCACCTTGGCTGAGATGTATAATATCCCGTGGCTGCGTCTTTACAGTTTATTGTGAGACTACATCCATCATGCCACTCGTCGCCTTCCTCGTACACGAGTCCGTTGTAGCGACACCCAGCAACTGAAAGAATTTTTATTTCCAATTCATAAATCGGTAAATATCTTTCTTGAAAATTATTTTAACAGTGACATTCTTAATTGATAATAATAGTTTTACAAAAGAAAGCAATGCAGTAAAAAAAAAGAATACGGAAATTTATGAGGTACTATATATGTACATGTGTATTTAAGAATTCCCCTTTTCTCTTTTTTTTTTTCTCATGACAGATGGCCAGGTGTTAGTCTGATTATCTTTTGTTTCTTTTTCCGTATGCTTTGCTATTTCGTCTTTAATATGTGTGGTTTTGTTTTATTTTTTGTGCGTTTCATCTTATGTGTACATTTGATTCTTAATTGCTTTCTAATCACTTGATTTCTAGACAAATATAAACAACTTCGTTCAGAGAAGAACATAGTGTAAAATGTTTGAGAGGGAATGCATAAATTTTGATACCGTTTGTTTCACTAGCCTTGTGTAGGTTACACACAGATTCAGGACAACAGCTGCCATTTCTTTTCACAATAACGCAACCATCTGCTGGTTTTACATCCGGACAACTAAAGGTAAATTTATGTGATGATGTACCATAATTGCAAGGAACTGAATATTGGTAACTGTTCAAAACATTAGTTGTCAAATACAAATTTTGCAACTGTATTTATTGCTTTATATGGACAAGACAAAATTTAAATTTGCGCATGCTCACGTGTTAACACATTTGTACTGTCCAGATCTTCCATCCACACAAGTGCAGTTGACAGAACAGCCATCAGTCCATGTGTCTCCTTGTACATACTTCCTTTTGTTGTAAAGGCATCCCGTATCACCTATAACTGGGGCTGTAAAGAAAAGTAAGACATGGATGTACGATGAAAATCTCAAATGAGCCTTCGACGCTATTGTATATAAGAGATTTGTTTTATCGAAAGTTAGAGGGACTTAAACATTCCCGTATCTTTTTTTCATGAGGATAACTTGTTTATTTTGTTCCATTTTACTGGATAAAATTTATAACAGTTTTTCCCATATCTTACTGTTAGGATTGCCCGAACAAACAAGCTTTCTGCAACACTGTCCATCGATGGCTTGGTAGTGGCAATTAAGAGGTGGATTTATAAATGTAGGGCATCTGAAAAATAAATGGATAAACCATCTTCTTTCTACATGTATGAACTGATATTGGTTAATATTTCTCTGCCTCCAAAAAAGTAGCGTCATAGTATATTTATTCAGAATGTGTAATGAATGTACACATGTATGTAAAATTAGTTACACAGTTGCAAAAGTATTCCATAATCTTTTCAGCCACATTCATGTACATGCAACAGAAATGTATGCTGCAGAGATGATATATGGCCACTTGGCCCATTGGTCTTTTTAATCCTAAGGCAATTATAAAAATTAGAAGCTTTTTTGTATGATTATTTAACTCATCCTTCTCATTAACATCATTCACAGTATATCACATATTTTTGTGCAAAAGAAAGGCAAGATTGTTGCTGCCAGGTAACTTTAACCTTGTTTGAGATTTATGAAAAAAAAAACATAGTTTGCGAAAAGGTCTAATTTGTTTTATGAGCAAAGTTAAAATTTTTTCGAATGAATGCTAATTTTTCAAATGCATGTACAAAGTTCAGCTTACGTAGTTTTGCATCGATATGCCCTCCCTGCCTCACAGGTACAGTTGTACTGACAACCATCGTTCCATTCCTCCCCGAGTTGATAAGATTTACCCCTGTATAAACAGTCGGTTTTGGCAACTGCCTGAGTAGTTGGGGATGTAGCAGATGGAGAAACGTTAGCGCCTTCAATTATTATCAAATAAAAAAAAGTGTGGGGAGGGGAGTTTCGGATTTTAAAAAATGTATCTCAGTGTAACTACACTGTTTCCAATCAAAACAGCGACATGTTTATCTCATATTTTTTGTCGTAAAGATGATCATTCATACATTTGTTAAAACAAAATTTAAAAGATGTTTATTAACAAGTGTTTATCGTGAGAAAATTCAAAAATGTTCAACAACTTGGTCTTCACAGATTGTTTGTATTTAAAGAGATAGCGATTACTGATATTTAACCCTACCGCAATATCCACAGGTTTTGGCACAGTTTTGTCTTGCCCATGATTCATAAGGTGCAACGCACGAAGACTGACCATAATCCTTACAGTCAGAAAGCTGGTCAGCGCAGGCAGGGGCTGTACAATACAGAATTGTTAGTGTTTAAAAAATGTTTATAAAAATCCAGAATTCCATTAAATGAACAAACTTCGAATTAAAAGAATCTTCTGAATAATTTATTCCATAGTAATGTTGAAATCATATATGTTTCATCAGCAGAAGCAGGTTATTTCCCGTATTTGAAATGTTACAGTTAGTGTTTTTATTCATTTTATTAACTCTAGGAAATCAAATATTGGTAATTTGTATTTGGATATATTTCAATGTTTCTTTCAAAAGTTAAAGAAAAAAATGTATTCACTTCGAACAAATTGACATTTCGTTGAAGTTAAAGAGCTGTTAAAATGCATTTAATGAATCAAAAACAATTTTTCTCATTTCGTCATTGAGTCTCATTAACATTATACATATATGTTAATTTATGATCTCTGTGACCACAGACATATGCACGATTCCTCTACTTATGCAAAAACCAACGAATTTTGCACAATTCTTCTTCTTACTACAGAAAGCACGGAATCTTGCACATTAGACTTACTGCAGAAATTACAGAATCGCGCACAATTCTACTTACTGCAGAAACCACAGAATCGCGCACAATTCTTCCTTCCCCAGGATTCATATGGAGCTTGACATGCACTTTTTGTGTACTCATGGCAGTCCGGAAGTACGTCACTACATGTGTCACCCTGACCTTTACTTCCGGTCAGTGTCACTGCAATATCATATAATTTGTACATTGGTAGCAACATGAACGATTATAATTATTAAACTTTTAAACTAAAAAGAAATACATATCTTTTTACTAATGAACCTTACCTAGTGTCAAGATCATGCAAAACAGAAGGGAATCCATTTCTTCGTTTCAAAATACTTTGCCTCAGTAATATCAGAACAGCTTTCCGTTTTATACGGGCTGGCTTATCATAATTTACTAAAGATGACCCGAAATGGCAGGAAAATTGGGTCAAAGAGTGTAATCTTCGAAAGATAAATATCCGGTCACATCGTTTGGGTGACGATGTCCTGTTTGCCAAGTTGCATTTTCTGGTGTACTTGATATTCCATGTTTGCACTAAGTTTTCTAAGGTATTTTAGTGCCTTTTCCATTGTATTTATGCAACTTGAGTTAATAATCAAAATAAAATAAAAGATACAATTATCAAGAAGATGATATTCCTGGTGAAATAAAGAATTTATATTCAGATTCATTTGATAAAGAAACCACCCAAAATGAATCTTCAATTTATTCCCATTATTTACTATTTTGTAGTGATGCGTAAACCACCTATTTATGTACATTATATTCCTCTAAGTTGGCTGTTACTACGTATCTTTAGAATGTTCGTCTTCTGAGGCTAACATGGGTTATCGGGTGGGTGTATTTTTAGCAAGAGAAGCTATTTATGATGTTGATTATCCATTTATTTGAACACGTCTATCACTGTTCCTTTCATATTATTCAGGGACTAATTTTAGGTCTCAGTCGAAATTATTCATCGTTTATAAATTATTTTAGGTTCAATCTCCACGATACTTGATGGAGGGATTGTCTGCTTTTTTTTTTATTTTGTTTAGCTGTCCTCATTAGAATAAAAAGATTTAATCATATTTTATTGAAAGTATAATTACACTGATGCCAGAATAAACAGCATCGAATTTGTATCCGAGCTTAATACTATTTCCATTTTGAAGATTTTTTCCGGAAAGATTTACTCAGTAACAACCAGAGTTAACGGTAATTTCCCCTTGCCGGAAAAGGAATGAGTATCCAATTAAAGCAATGGTCTACATGTGTGTGAGTTACATAAAAGAAAGACAATCATATTTAACGCCAATACCTATATATCCATTTTTTCAAAAGGACTACTGAAAAAAATATTTCAAAAGTTTATTATATCTTTTATATAAATGTCCTTCAATGAAACATATGGAGGTAACGAACAGTATTCAAGAACAAATGTCCATAAAACAATACAAAACAGAAGCGAGCTAACACGGGCCTCCAAAACATCAGAGGTGGGATCAGGTGCCATGGATTAGTGAACATCATATAAATGTATTTATAAAGGCTACGGTATGTGTCTAGAAGACCTACTATACTAGTTTTACTGTTTAAGGTTAACAAGAAATTGTGTATTGAATGTTTATGCTGGGTGAATAAGACACATGCATCCAAAGTTATACAGTATCGAACAATGAGGAAAAGGTTGAAAAAACTTTCATAATGCCTCTGACGCCGAAATTTTACTTCACCGTGACTTCAGTACCTGTTTTGTTTAATCACCAAATATTGATATTAATTTATACACATTCTAATATTTTAGTATGAAATACTGATGACCATAAAGTAAAAAAAAAAAAATTCTTTTGACTTTTTATATTTTTCTGCTGAACAGTTTCAAAAAAAAAAATTAACAGCCCTAGCTGGTATAAATGTAAACACTGAAACTGTGTGAAGATTAATAAAACAGCATTAATGAACAGTTAATGAATTGAAAAGTTGATTGATACTTCATGGTCCTTTAAAAGCTTGATGATTGTTCTTATTGCATATTACGTACTGTTTTATTTGTTTGGTGAAACATCGTTACATGTTGATTGATAGCTGCGTGAACTCCCGTGATTTCATTGAGTGTTGTATATGTCACGACTCTGGGAAACTTGATTATTGTTTTTCTGTCAACCAAAGATATGATTTAATATCATTTAATATCATTTGTAAGCAGCAAAACAGATTAAATTTGTTTTACATAGGCATTGATAACCTGAAAATGACATAAGGTATACGTAGATTTCCTCTAACATGAAATATTCATTTTACCAACAGTGCTAAGTTTAGTTTTTGACTTTGAGGTCATATCTTAGTTGCATGAAAAATTAAATACAATGACCCCATTATTCATAAAAGTGAAAACTTTTTATAAGTCAACTGTTTATTTGTGACAATGCAATCTTCCTCATATCATTAAGTATAAAAAATAACATTTAAAAATCAAAGTATATTTTTCAATTAGTTATCACCCTCAAAAACTATTCTTATCATTGTCCATATAAGCCTATTTAAGGCACCTTCTTAAGATGAGTTTTAAGTATGATACTTTACATCTTTACATTTGTTTAATCTGTATATAGAGATTAATCAAACGCTTCTAAAGCGGGTTCAAGATATGATTAAATTATGTTTTTAAAAAAAAATAGTTCAATATACATATATCAAATACCCATTTGATTAAACAACAACAAAAAGTCTTATATATATATACCAAGGAAATTTGAATAATTAATGGAATTTTTAAGTAACTTTTTAATTTATATTTAGATCTTAAATATTAAATAGATTTCATACTATAAGTATTACATTCTTTCAAATGAAGAACTAGTGATATGAAGAACTAGTGATATAGAGATAATTAACTCTATTATATTCAACCAATTTGCTTTTTTTAACAAGATATATTATTTCACTTATTTCTGTACATAACATAAAAATGTAAAATCCCCAGAAATTCACATTTCATTAAAATACATTATAAGAAATAAAATTGCCACTCTAGCACAAGTCTACATATAGATGCATACGAAAGCCCAAAAGGCTCAAAATAAATGCATTCGAGGCAGTCCACCGAAAAACCAGAGTATTCGAAATTCGAGATGTGAGAAATTCGATTTTATTGAAAACAACATCAATGTATCCAAATTAACCAATCAAAAGGCAGGTTCAATTTTGTATTACTCCTTTTCTTTATTAAAAATGTTTTACTATCAAGAAATCGTTGAATATATTCATATCAAATGGGTCATTTGCTTAGATGATAATGCAAGAAAAAATGATGTATGTATTAAAACGAAATAAAAAGGAATTTTAGGTTACATTTTAGAAAATATATATAAATTCTTATTTTTCATCATTAAACAAAACAATACATAGGTATATAGAATATTATATGGTCTTATCGTTGATATTTTTTTAAATAAGAACATTGATGAGGGAGAAAATTATTATTTATATGAAATACTAATGAGGATACATTTCTTTACATTGTGCCCCCCCCCCCCCCCCCGCCATAATTTTATAATTTTGCCGATATATAAAATACTATAGAAATCATAACTACTATATGCTTGTGCCCCCTCAATAAAACATCTGATGACTTTTTTTGCTTTGTTTTTGGTTGTCAAGAAATTTTTGGTAGTTGAAAACTGAAAATATATGGCTTGCCCCCCCCCACAACCCAATGAAATGAGCATTATGGTTTTACTAGTATATTTGAGTCTTTGGGGGTCGGGCGAGACCACACGGTTTCCTTTTAAATAATTATCGAATATATATTATTGTATCTATGCATCGCAAGATTGACAATTAATTGTTAACCTTTTATGGTCCCCTAGATCCGCCACCATTTCTTCTCTTGGCCATTCTCAATATATTTTTCCGATATAATATATTATAGAAAACAGTAACTTCATGCTTATGTCCATTCAAAAATAACTTCCAATTATATATGATAACCCGTCATTTTAAAATTAGGGTAGGGAAAGGGGGATAAACAATGATTTTTTTTAATATTATTCCCAATGGGTCATTATCTTTATTAAGCAACACATGCATGTTTCAGCCATCCACGTACTTCATAGGGGCTGTATTTACCTCATTCTTTCAGAAACTTTTATGTTTATGGCCACTTTTTAATACCGTGTCACAAACACTATCCATTTGAAACCCGTTTTATTTAATTATTACAGAGACGAAGCATCGATTTTGAAAGTGGGGTGGGGGTGGGGTAATTAGTTGACGATACAAAAATATTATTGTAAATGTGAAAATAAAAACTGAATAAAAATATATTTTTAACACAAAATCTTATTTCGGGCATTAATTATTTAAATTTCCTTTAATATATATATTTCTTTTAATACACTACTACTTAAACTTATTTGACTTATTCTGCACCACTGTACCAAAACGTGTGTGTGTTTTGGGGGGGGATATTGAATCTCGAATTTCGAATTTTGAACATTTTCAACAGTAAAAAAATTACGTGCTGTTAATCTATTTTAAGTTTACTATTATGTCAACAACCCTCTATCCAAAGTAGATAACACGAAATATATATAATTCTTTATATTAATCTCTATGATATTTAAGAAGCTATTATAAATTGATTAAATTATCTTGTGGAAAACATATAGCTCCAAATATTTCATAAAATTTCGTTTTGAACTATATATATTTACTTTTTTGCGTTGTAATTTAATCAATTGACTTCCTCGGTATTAAATCAACTTAAGATTTCATTCTTTACAAAATAATAAAGGGATATGAAGTAATTGATATAGAATACCGCCTTTTGATTGGTTATTTTGCTTCCCTCTGTTAAAAGATGTATTGTTTCATTAATTCTGACATATCATAAATAAGAAGATGTGAAATTCACATTTTATTAAAACAAGAAAAAATAAAATTCCCGAGCACAAGTCTACATATAGAAGCCATCAAAAATCGCAATAAATACTGTTCAAAATAAACATCCACTGTATAACTTTTGCCGAGGATAAAAGATTGATTGTTCATAAAAATAATGAAATGTTAACAAAGTATGGACATAAATAACAGATTAAATTTGTAGTATATTGATCCCTATGATTACTTTTTCTACGTTTCTGAACAGATGTGGTTAGTAAAGAATGGTAGTACAAAGACACGGTGGTAAATATTCCTGTCACAGAAAAATGGCGGCTATAAAAATAATCTCTTTTTGTATTGGTTCCGTGCCGGACTTCAGAAAAATCAATCGTAGTTGTCATTATTCATATATTTGACCTAAATATTTCATAAACGTGTTAAGAATCTCATACATTATCATTATTTGACATATTTATAAAACACATGTTTTTTTTTTTTAGAAACCAAAACCCTTCAAAAGTTTGGAAATTAATGAGA